CACCCACCGGTGAAACGCTCCTGGTGGCCGCAGGCGCTGTCCGTCGGGGACCCCGTCAGCTCTTGGGAAGAAGAGCGTGGTAACGTGAAATGAGCGCCCTACAGTACCTGTTTGGGTGGGATAACGGGCTTAGAAAACCTTGTGCTACGCTTCTCACGCGGTGCTTCGGCGCTGAGCCGTGAGAGAGATTGGGAAACCTGCCAGGCAGGCACGGAGCGTGGAAGTCTCAAGTTGGCGATGAGGGATGGGACGCTCGGACCCAACACAGCGCTTCGGGGACTGGGAAGGGCGATGCCTTCTCTCCGTGTAGGTGAGGTGCCCTGTGGGGATAGACAGCTGGATGCTGCGGCCTGAAGGGAGTCACGAAAAAGAGAAAAAGGTGTCCAAGGCAGAGGGTCAGAGGACTCGGGATGTGGGTTACGTAATTTTTCCTCAGAAAGTTAGCTAATGGCTTGTAACAGAGTTGTGGGGTTTTGTACTATTCCAGGTGCCGATCGGTTACTATTAACTATCAGCTAACTCGAAGAACACCACAGATTATAAAAAACGTAACTTCTAGTCCGTCAGTGCATCAACACAGTTTGCTACCTGGAGTACTGGCAAATCAGTTTTAATATGGATTTACTTTAAGTTGCGCAAGGGCATCTTCCTCACTCCCAAGCTGGTAGCTGTGGTGAAGTAACTAATTGTCAAATAAAAACACGTTTGCAAGTGAACCCGAGTGCTGTTGTGATAAGTGCATTTATTGTATTAATTTTTTTCTATGTTCAAAATAAAGAATGAGTCGGCCAACAGTAAAAAGACCAGAGGGCTACTAGACCTAGCTGTGCCCATGAAGAAAGGCTGCCGATGGATGTAGTGAACATTGTGAATCCACATCCAGCAGCGGTGATCATTGTTAGTATTTATTTTAGTGATCAACAGAAGTCCTGTTGTGGTGACAGAACTTCTTTCTTTTTTTTTTTCTTCTTTTTTTTTTTTTTAAACGGTGTGGTTCAAATGTTGAATGGTTGGACAGCACCTGGATTTTCCCAGAGGCCTCTTTCAGAAGCAGGGGCTTTTCATCCCTGGGGAGAGTAGGCTTATTCTCGACTCTGCTCGCTTCTACAATGCAGCTTCCAGCAAGGAGTGTGGGATAGTGCCAGCTGTGGTTGTGGCATTTCACGTGATTCAAGCAAATGTCAGCTAGGAGTTAGCTTGAGATGACCTATTTATTTCATTTAGGTTGTGCAGCGGGTGTTGCTGGCAGTGATTTGCAGACCGGATTGACCTGTCCTGGAGTAGATGAGGTAGAAGCTAAAACAAGCTAAAACTGTCCCTATTTCTTGCCAGTTCTCTGAAATACGGAGCCTTCCTTGAGCAGTGAAAGGAAGCGGAGCGGATAGTGCTGCTCTTGCCAGAGGCAAGGGCTGGAAGCAAAGTGACTTTGGCATGTTCTTGTAGAGGCTTTCTGCATTTCGGTTTTCTGGGGAATCCAAGGTGCTCCAGTCAACTGTCCCTTGCTTAGACTTTCTTTTAGGAAGGATAGCTAAGGGCTGATAAGTTCTTCTGATATTTAATTATGTTTGTCTTGTCTGACTAGTAAAACTGGGATGTAAAGGCTGCCCGATACACCTCTGTATTCCTGGGATGCTTCAGATGGGGGGAAATAGCCACACCTCCAAAGAGCCCTCAGGCAGAAAAATGCCTGAGGCACTCCCAGAACAGCACAGGCTGCTAGTCTTAGCGTCTGCCCTTCTTCTATCACTCTGGATATTTAAACTGAGTTTTTAATCTTTATTCCTTCAGATAAAAAGTGCAGTTCTCTCAACTCAGGAGTTCATTGGCAAGAAAACTGAAAGCAGATAATCCCTAGGAACTACTCTGCAGTCTGGCTTCTGCTAATACCGGGTAACTATAGTCACTGCATGCTCAGCCTGAGCGGTAAAAGAGAAGGGTAGAAATTGAGGGCTGGGCAAAAATAGTACTGAGATAAGCCTGAAAGCAAGGTAGATTTTTTTAATAATTTTTTTTAGATTAAAGATCGTGTGCAGAGGAAGAAGAGGATTATGTCTGAAATTGTGATGTTTCCCATGCCTGTGGTATTTGAGCTTGAAGGGAATCACGTTTATCACTCAGAAAGCAATTTCTATAGCTAATCAGCTCTGCTTAGACCCCTTCACAAGATAACCTTTGCCAGAAAATAGTCCGTCCAGCAGTTTGTTTAGTGGGTTATTGATTCCCCAGGTGTCATTCTTTTGACCCAGCTTTTTGTCATCTCCTGTCATCCACGCCACCCTGTAGGGATATTGCTTCTAGCAAATGTGAACAAGCTTGAAGACACTTCCTTATAGTGAGTGAGTTCCCCTCCTGTCATCTTGCAGAAATGCAAGCATTCCCTTTCCTTTTGAATGTATAAAACGGGCAGGAACTGGTTTGGTTGCCAGTTTGATGTGGTTGTTGCCTTCGTTAAATAGCTCAGGGTCTGTTGTAACACAGTGTGTGTGGGGTATGGGTGCTGTAAAACTCCAGAACTTTGGAGCAGAGGGTACTGAATGTGGAGGTGAAAAATAGGACATTGCTAGTTAGGGTTTGTGGCAGCGAGATGTGGCAATGGTTAGATCTGCAGCTAAGGTCGCCTTGCAGGAGACCGAAGCTGATTTTGCATCAGAAAATTAGAGGGAAAAATTAACTGGAT